TAATCTAAACCTCCCCACTTTCAATTTAAACCCGTTACCCCTTGTCCTGTCACTACAGGCCCTTGTAAAAAGTCCCCCCCAGCTTCCTTGTAGCCCCTTCAGGTACTGGAAGGGGCAATAAGGTCTCCCCAGAGCCTTCTCTTCTCCAGGCTGGACAAGCCCAACTCTCTCAGCCTGTCCCCATAGCAGAGGGGCTCCAACCCTCTGAGCATCTTCGTGGCCTCCTCTGGACTCGCTCCAACCAGTCAATATCCTTCTGATGCTGAGGGCTCCACAGCTGGACGCAGCACTCCAGGTGGGTCTCACAAGAGCGGACAAATAACTCCTAGCAGGGTTGATTTACCATGAGGCAAGGAAAGCAGGAGTTTTACAACTCATGAGCATTTCCTTTGTGTTTTTTCCCTTTGGCAGGTACCCAAGGCTGCCTTGCAAGCACCGCAGGAGGAAAAGATATAAAGGTAATACTAGAAATGGGTCTTGTTATAAACGACTTAGACAGAAACTCTGGCATCTTTAAGGCACACATTACTGTGAAGTGGAGGTAACCGATGAGAGAAGAGCCAGGGGTGGATTCTGCATAAAAAGCTTTTTAACGTAAATTAATAACGCATATAGAAAAATGGATTGGAAAAATATGGTCGGAGAGTGAGCAGACTGCTGACCTACATGCACGCCTGAGTGAAGTGTGATTTTATTTTAAATGGAAGAGCAAGACATTTGGGGGCATGGGGGGTGGGAAACAACCTGAAAAAAACAACTTTTTCTTATGCTCTCTACCACCTTGTCTCTGATGCTGTAATAACAAGTTTACAGCATCTCCTTTCATACAATCCTTATTCAAAGCCAGTAAGTTGTCTCTTCCTTCCCTTTCCTCTTGAGAATTGGCATCTTTTGCCACTAGGAACCCTAAGTTTCTCTCAACATCCATTCAATTCAAAGGGAAAAAAAGAGACATGTTCACCAAAGTCCTGAGAAATGGAAGAGGAACTAAGTACCATCCTTGAATCTGAAGGCACGCTTAGTTTGGGTATCTTGGTTTGTATGGAAAAGCATCAGCTATGGAAAAATGGGTATCTGAGAAAATACACAAGATGAGTAGCTATTAAAATCTTCTCCACACCTAAAAGAATACTCCCAAGATCAGGACCTGGTGAGGAAAAAACCATTTAAAAAATCGCATTCACCATCGCTGTGGTGAGATTGCAGGATGGTTCGATGGCCATCGGTAAATGCCTACCGCGTTGGGGTCTGCGCACGGTGCGAGTCTACCTGACGGTAGATTCACTTCGCTGCAGACACACCAGCAGCGTTACACCCGGCGCTACCGTTGTTCAGGTTTTCCTGGCAGCCTCTCTCTGTGCGGTCCCGCCAAAGGCGGCCGATCTTCAAGTCAGCCTCCCGCCCTAGCGCGGCTGTGCACCTGGTCTGGGCAAGGGTCTGCTTTTAAGAGGAATCCTACTAAATACCGTTGGAAGCCGTGTGAACGCGTGTTGATTTGCTATGCTTTGGCTGCACTATTTCTGTATTGAGTTATTTTAGCATAGTCCGACCCTGGAATAATCTATTCCAAGCCAGGAAAGCATTGTGATGAGCCACGATGCGTGAACACGGGTTGGACCATCCCAGAGCTTGGAGGCAGGGGTGGCAGGTGGAGCACGGGCAGCCTCCCCACCATGGCAAGAAGGGCTTGACCACGATGGCAAAGAGGCCATGACTTGTGTAAATGGGGTGTAAATCTTTAGTGGCTGCAGTTCCAAATCCACCGGCCGCTTTTCATTCAGACCGCCTGTATTTTGCCCTGGAAACAGTGAAACGCATCCTTAATGTGGCCCCCCTCCAGTGCTGTATTTAACAGAATTTTCGGTGTCTGTCTTAAAGCGCACCCTAATAACAGAGATCGCAAGTAGTAACAACAGAAGGAGCCAAGGAGGTCTTGGACGTTGTTTAGCGCTACGGGTGTCTGGCTTAGGGTGTTCCACGTGTTTGAGCGTGCCAGGAGCTGGCACTCGAGGGACGGTGTGTGAACGCAGACGAAGGGTTCTAAGGGGTTGCGGGCAGGGTATGTTGCTTGGAGCGATGTGTGTCAGGAGCCTGTCACCTGAGGTGAAGAGGAGAGTGCTTTCTGGGAAGGAAAATAAAGCTGTCAAAAAGGAAAGAGATATCTAGCAATTTTTGGTGGGGGAAAAGTAACCTAGAGAGTGGGAAGGGTACAGAAGGAAATAAGATGGTGACATGCAGCTGGAAGAGATAAGAGTAAGACAAGGAGAGAAAAAAAACATGAGTCAGGGGAGAAAGGGGAAGAAGAGAAAGACTTATGGATTTATGGACAATATACAACCAAAATTTATTGTTTTGTCATTTGTCTGCTCCATCTGGGAAACAGTCTGCCTTTACATGCTGCCCACTTTAGACCTTTAGGATAGGATTTCTCTCCTGAACCCCTATAAACCAATGTTAAAATAAGGAGATTTTGTGAGCTTTTATTTTTATGTTTATTCCACCCACATTTGCTGTCGAAGTACGTTGACATAACGGCGGTGTCTGAATTAAAGGTGCTAGGAGAATTCCATGACTCTAGCAATGAAAGGGCAACACTCGGAGCAGGAATTACTTCTGCAATGCAAAGGGAAATGTGTCCATTCTGGCACATTTCCAACCCTTTCCTGATTGTCACCCAACCGTCACTCTACCAGGATCATCATCTTCTGCCCCCTTCACTTCGTCACCTCCAAATTGTGCTCCGATAGTGACGAGAGGGGAATCCATCAGGGACTCTGCTCTCAGCCGCAGGCACTGGAGGCCATGGGGGCTGTGATCTGATTAAGGCATTGTTGAAAACAGCTTTTCCCTTTCACCTGAAACCACTCTCCTCGGACCGAATCAGAGGGAGCGGGTGAACGGTGCCCGAACTGCTGCGCGGGCTCTACAGGTACCACAGACTCTACATCTACAGAGAGCCATTTGCTATTTAGCGTGCACACAGGGGGTGAAGCCGACCGTCCTGCAGTCCAGCACGTAGTCAGTAACATTCACATCCAGTATACTATTAAATGTAATTATTCTTCTTACTTGAACAACAATTTTTAAACTATATCCTATAATAAATTCAGGCTTAGAAATGGTATAAGATACTTTACAAATATTTTTTCTGCTCTCAAAGTTCCACGTAAATCCCAAAGGAGCTGCGTTGTTCCTTCCGTTTCAACACACAGGATAGGTTTGTAGAGGGTGTCATCCCGCATCCTTAAGTCAAGTAAAATTTTCATTTCATTTTTATGAATTAAATCCCATAATTTAATTGGGTGGGTAATTGCCAAAGGTCAGATCGAAGTCAGCAGTCTCAGCGCCGTTCCAGGAACAGTGCTGCTTTATTAATGTGTCAGGCCAAACTTTGTTTCTATGGATTGTGCATAAGTAGTGCTTAGAATTTTTTTTAATTTCCTGTCTGCGGACAAGCTGGATGCAAAAATGTAATAGCCAAAGTTGTGTGCTAAATTGTATGGGTAAACCATTTCAAGCAATAATTGAGTGCAGAACATGGATCTGAATGCCTGGAACTCAAACTGTATTTCCAATTTAAAATCATTCTGTAAAGAGATCAGATTTTCCTGATTAAAAACCTTGAGAGGGGTTATACTTAATATCCACAACCACGTTCCATGCTCTGCCCAAATTTCATCTCTGTCTAATAGCAAGTTTTTTAAAATGATACTGACGTAGCTAGAAGGCAGAAGCATCTCCAACAGGGTATAAAACAAAATAAACGGTGTAACTTGTCCTGCTGAGCTCCAGAGGGCAAAGGGCATGACCTGAACACTCACCTGTGCGCTGCACAGGCAAGGGCCTGAATTCTTTGCTCAGTGCAACACCAACAATTACATCATTCAAATGGTTTTGGTTTTCTGCGTTAGGTCTGTTTACAAGCACGTGTAGCTGGTGAAAAGTTATTTTGAAATTTAGTTAAACTGTTTTCTGAGCAGGTCTTCCACCCTTTGCTCATTGCGTGGGCTCTTTCTGCTCTTCTACATCCAATGGCTTCTCTTTTCACGTGGGAAGTGCCATGCCAGGAGCGACTCTGGATTGCTTTGTGCAACGGATTACAACCATAGGCATCCTCCTACTTCTTCAGTCCTGCGATTTTTGTAAAATCACCTCTTTGCCTGTATGCCAAGCGTTTATCCCTGTGCTTCCCAGTGCGACAGCTTGAGCCGCATCTGAGACCCTGCTGCTTGCACGCATGGATGCTTGTAGCTGCAGGGAAGAAAGCCACTTTGTGCTTGTTCTGTGGGGTTTATTTAAACCAAAAATACATGAAATGATGCTAACTTGGGTTATTGGCTACATGAAGAATGCATTCCATCCACAAAGTCACCAATATTTATTTTCATTTTATTAAAAAAACCCAACCACTGTTATTTTACCGAAAAGCGTTATTTTCACATGGACAAACCCATTATCCCCACTTCAAAATTCTTCTTTTAATTGACCAGACACCAAAATGATCTGAACATGTATTAGCTCAGCAAAAATAATGTGAAAAAAAAAAGACTACAAACGTAACCAAAGATTTTGATTATGAGGCACAGGTACTGAAGACTGCAATACATGTATTCATGTTTGAGGAGAGTCCATTAGCATCTCAGAAATTTTAGGAAATTTCGTGAACTGCAGCTGAAAGCTAAGCTAAACTGTTGGTGTAAAGGGCACCGATTGTTCCAGGAGAATTTCTGACCAATAAGTGCATCTTCTAAGGCTTTTTGTAAAGTCTCTTACCTTCAAAGAGCCCTCCTCCTCCTTTGTACTTTTGAAGGGGGAGTGATATAAGGATCAGACAGCGATAGCAGCCATTTCCCACCAAATTCTGCCTGCCTTTACTGTCAGCCGAAGTGTTTCGTTACCTCAGAACTAAATCGTGTTCAGCTGATGCCGCAGTCGCTTTACAAGAGCAGGTGGTAAATATTTGAACTTCCGTAGGCCACGGCAGCCTCTTCTGAGGCAGCTCAGGGGGGTGCAGATGCATTCACGTGTGTGTAAGAACATTTGGAGAGCGAAGCCCCCGTGGTCTTCCGCTCCTCATCGTCACCGACCTCTCCCTGGATTGCCGGGGGCTTTTGCTTAGCGCAGCAGGTGAAGGTGGCCAGAAAGCCCATGCGGAAACGCTTGTTCATAAAGCAGTATATGATGGGGTTCACGCAGGCCGACGTGTAGGACAGCAAGTGGATAAAGGAGATGGGAGCTCCCGAGAGACGCAGGTCAGCCGAAGCGGTGTCGAAGGCGCGCCAGGCATTCACGCTGAAGATGGGAGTCCAGCAAAGGAAAAACAAAATCACGATCACCATCAGCATGCGGATGACGAGTTTCTTGGCCATCAGGTTGGCAGCAGAGCTGCTGCTTCTCACCCTGTCTATTTTGCTATGGCTGGTAGCAGAGAGCTGTTGCAATGGCATTGTCCTTCTTCTTTTGGTTTTGTTGAGGTAGCATCCATCTCCGTCCTCGTATTTGGCACTGCAGGTACTTGTTTTTCTTTCTGTACACATAAATCAGTGCTTAAATAGTTGGCAGAGTATCTCTGAACAGTGACTCAAAAACAAAAACTGAAGAATGGAGTCTAAGTCTAAATAAATAACATAATGCCTGGCTGAACACCTGTTGCAAAGAAAGCACTGCCCTACTTCTGAGTCAGTCTCCGCTGCTCTGCGCCCGCTATCTCCCAAAATTCTCACGTCTTAACGCTACACAAATTCATGCAAATGATGCAAGAACACTGTTTGCTCAAGTATTCGCTGAAGATAGTTCTACAATTATATGCTTCTATCTTAATTTGACGACTTTTACTGTGGTGTTTATTGACAGAAATCATCCTCATCCACGACCAGAAGAAAAATCTTGGTATTTCTATAACAAGCAAACTAGAAATTTAATATATCCTGCCCAGAGGAATTGTTTGCTGGTGAATAATGGAATAACTTCCATCAACAAATACATCTGGCAGGTTCACGACCATAAACTGACCATAATGGTAATTTTTGCAAGTAGAAAGTTTTGCCTCAAGACAACTGTTTGTATCTTCATCTCTAACTTAAAAAAAAAACCCCAAACCTAAATGTATTGTTACCTCGTGAAGATTTTCTCTGGCTGGCATCGAATTTTATTCCTCTGTAGAGTTCCAAAGAAATTAGGCCGTACGCAACCATCATTATAATCCCAGGTACAAGAAAGAGTATGAGTAGCAGGAAAGTGTACCTAAAGAATCAAAAGACAAACTGAGACCAGGGAACATCACAAAACCAGAAAAACTCCTTTTTCTCCAGGTAAGAACTGAGGGGCAGGATTTCAAGATTTTTCTGAAATTTTTTCAGAAGCACCATGAACCCATGAGCAGAGCGTGCCTTAGCAAGCCAGGAGGTTCCTGGAATG